GGGACTCCTATGATTCGAATGTTGGGGCGTTTCACATTGTCCCAGAGGTCCCTGAGGTTGTCCTCATTTCTTTTGATTCTTTTTTCTTTTTTCCTCTCTGCTTCATTTATTTCCACCATTTTATCTTCTAACTCACTTATCCTATCTTCTGTCTCTGTTATTCTACTCATGGTTCCCTCCAGAGTGTTTTTGATCTCATTTATTTCATTATTAATTTTTAATTGACTTTTTTATTTCTTCTAGGTCCTTGTTAAACATTTCTTGCATCTTCTCAATGTTTGTCTCCAGGCTATTTATTTGTAACTCCATTTTGACAATTCTATTTACAAATGACAGCAGCCTGTTTGGGGTAAAAAGCTTTACTGTAGGACTCCTCAAATCTGTAATGGAGAAAGAAAATCAGGTAGAGCTCTGAGAGGCACAGAAGCAAAGTTTAAAACAAATTTCATTTTATAAAAGAAAAATCTGTTATCGGGGCCCTTACTGAATTTCTTCCAGACAAAGGCCACTGCAGTCTGAGTATCTACCACCCACAGAATATGCGAGGATGGTTCCTAAGAAATCTAGTCCAGTCATGTATGAGGAAAGGACAGTCAAGATATTAGGCTGGTACAAAGGTTTTAGGCTCAAACACATAGTTATTAGTTAAATTAGGAACTATTATAATCAACACATATCTACACAGGAGTGACCGTCAGTGGATGTCAACTATTATGAATTGCTGTGGCTCCTTTCTCAGTAGACATATAAAATCTTCCATTAATAGAAGTTGTGCTCTTTCACTTAACAAAAAGATCATCTTTGGTTGTTTTTTTTCTCATCTTTTGTCTCCTCCCACAGATCTCCTTTGCACCAAGGACAACTTATCAGCCAGTTTCTGCCAGACGCTGAAAACCATGAAGAAATGTTCCGTGCCCACCGTGAGGGCTCAATGCTGCCTCTCGTGTTCCCAGACGCACGTGGCCCACACCCAAAGGCCAAGGAAGCGACAGCCACTCAAGATCCCCAAAGCACCCTGAGTGCAGAAGGAAGCCACCCCCCACCATAGACTGCAGCAGCCTGCTGACCAGGACATGTTCTAGCCCAGGGACCACTTCCTCGCGGTGTTACTCTGTGTGTTTCAGGTTCAACTTTGACTCATAACAAAAAAGCACGCTGTGTCCCTTTAGCCACACAGTTTCCCTCAGGAGTCATGCACTGTTGTGCTCACTGCTCCCTGATAGGCAGGGGAGGTGTCCAGGAGAACTGGGCTTCTCAGGGGGTCATCTCCTGGGAAAGATACCCAGGTGGAAAAGTCTATGAAATGATGTCTTTTGTTTCTCCCTTAAAGATAAAAACAGACAGAGACCATATTTTCCCCAGACTACCTCAGGAGAATCAGGAAACAGAGCCTCACTTATCCAGGGAAGAAATACAGTTGTTAATTTACTTGGATGAAATCACTCCTTTTTTTCTTTTTTTTTCTAAATCTCCCTACTTGGGGCAGCTGCTGTTTCAGATGTCATGGGAGAGCTTTCAGGAACATTCTTGTAATTCATCCAGGCAGGGGACCGCTTTCTCTACCCAATATTTAACTGAGGCAGGAAGAAAAAGTCCTGGCTACAGACTCAGTCTGTCCCTAATCCCTGTAGACTCTACATCTGAGCTGTTTAGACTCCCGTGCCTTCCTAGGGACACTAGAAAAAGAGGAATGGGCAGGAACTGTAGCTTTAGTAAACCTAAGGGATTTAGGTTATACAGAAGACATTTCTGACTTAGGATAATTTCTATGAAAACTCTTAAAAAACAAATGATCAGAAGTCAGTTTCTTGTATAAGGAAGAGAATGTGGGCTTCTATTCTTCCCACTTCCTGGCACATACCCATTGCTTCTTAGAGGAGATGTGAGTCTTCCTGTGTGACTGTCCCTTCCCTGGCACATCCCTGCCTGGATCTTCAATTCAGGGTGAGCATCTTTCCACCGCTGGGGCTTTACACATCACAAGTGCTACAGCCAGGTCTGTGTCTGCAACCCGCCCACCCACCCTCGGGTTCTGAAATGGAGCTCTAGATGAAAATATTTCTAAGACCTAGGTAAATTGTATCAAGTATAGAAAAACTTTGTATAAACTAATAGTCTCAAGAAAAAAACTTTTCGAAAAGGAGGTAAAGCTGACATATTCTCTAGCACACCCAGTAGTTACTTTTGAGAATCTGTTTCCTTGAAGGGAACGGATGAGTCAGGGAGTCCAAAAAAATTAACAAGGCTGAATCTCTGATGTTCCCATCACCCAGCAGTAGTCAAAGTAGGTTAGGGTCTCAAGTTGAAGGTGAATTTTCTGGTTTGTAAGAGGAGGTGTTTCTATGAACTGAACCTGGAAAATCAGGGGAGGGTGAGAGGAGTAGAGACCCCAGGGAAAGAAGCCTTCAGAACCAGCTCTTGACAGGGGGGAAGGCAGAAGAGTCATCTTCATGTCATGGGTCGTGTGTCTTCAGACTCACTCACAAGTACCATTAACATTCACCGTGGAGCACAGTGTCGCATCTTTCCCTTGAGTTATCTCTCCGTTCAGCAGAATGGTGCTATTGAAACATGGTGCTAATATCCAGATGGTGGCAGAACAAATATAAACATGTAGATAGATGTACAAGTGGGCAAATCCATATGCATCTTCTGTTAAATGTGTAATGGTGTTGCTGGCCAACGCCAGTTCTATTGCTTGGATACCAGAAGCTGAAAATTTTTATATTATGCGCTTTTTTTTTCAAGCCATTACTGTGTATTATTCTGATAAATGCCTGTGGAAACTAAAACACTGGTGTTGGGATGGAATTTGAGATAGGACCAGACACAGTAACAAGGTAAAAATGTTTACCAAAATCAGGGAATTTATTTCTGTATGATTAGGTTCTTATATTCTGTCCTTAAATCTAAACATTGCTGGCCGATTACAGTCTCTGGTGAAATCAGTTTTAGAGAGAAGATGCTTAAATCATCAGTGACAGGAGTAGAAGAGAACCTGATTTTTTTTCTAATGAGGCAGTTTGCAAAAACTGTCCCTGAAGTGTAGTATAGGCTTTCAAGGGGATTAATTTAGTAAGTTGGATGGATTTAACTTAACCTGGTACTCTGCTGTCCCAGGGCTCCTCCGGTGGCTCAGACGGTAAAGAGTCGCCTGCAGTGCAGGAGACATGGGTTCAATCCCTGATTTGGGCAGATCCCCTGGAGAAGGGAATGGCAACTCACTCCAGTATTCTTGCCTGGAGAATTCCATGGACAGAGGAGCCTGGCTGGGGTTGCAAGGAGTCGGACAAGAGTTGGACAGAGTTGGACAAGACTGAATGACAGAGAATGAGATGGTTGGATGGCATCACTAAATCAGTGGACATGAGTTTAAGCAAACTCCGGGAGATGGTGATGGACGGGGAAGCCTGACATGCTGCAGTCCATGGGGTCACAAAGAGTCGGACAGACTTAGCAACTGAACAACAGCAACTGCTCTCCCAGGATCATGCATGTCATCAGAGCCCTGGATATGGCTAGTTTTATAAAACTCAGGAACAAACCCAGATTCCCGTGACCTCAGCAAACTAGGCCAGATTTCCCAATATGCGAAATGTTATTTATGACCCATGAGGAAAAGATGGTAGAAATGTAGAGAGGGTCTGGCCAGGTGCCCTATTCTAGGCCTTTCTCTCATTTCTCAAAGGCAGAATATTGGCCCCGAATCCTGCATCATGAACATTCACTTCCTGTATTGAGGCTGTGAGGTAAGACAGTTGTGTAGCATCTGTCATTCTAGGTCGCAAGATAGTACTTGCTACTGGAGTCATCTGACATGATTGTTCCCTTGACAGTCACTCAACTTTGGGTCATCAGGGTTTTGAAAGGTCCCCATGCTAGCAATAAGAGAGAGACCTCAGATTAACAGGAAGACATGAAAGACAAGAACCTAGATGACATCTCACCATTCTTTTGGTGCTCACAGGGGCCAACGTGAAGTAGCGATGTTGCTTTATTTCCTCCGCGGCCTCCTTTCCTCCCACCTTGAACAAGCAAGTGAGAAGTGTAGCAGGAGACACTGGATATGCATCTACCATGAACCAGAGAGGCCACCACGGGGCCTGGTGCTTCAATACATAAAGGTTCTCAAGCCCAATCTGGTTTATGTCACTTTTCCCAGTGGTAGACTTAACTCTTCTCTGAAAAGGTATGGGTTCATTTAGTTCTTGAACATCCAAACATAATTCAAACCACCATGAGGAAACAACATTTCAAGAGACTAAAGAGTGAATACCTTTGTAAAAATGAAATCAATTTATGATACAAGCAGCTACCCCTTTGTATGAGTGACTCATTTTAATGTTGGGACTTCTTAAGCAAGAGTGTGTCTCTGTCCAAATCTCCTGATCCATCTCTACGTGGTGGAGCCATCCCAGTGTGAAGCTTTCAGATATTGAGTATTGTTGATAACGTTCATCATGTTTCTGGAACATGATTTGAAGGATTTATATTGTTTCAGGTCATAATTTCCCAATCAATTGGTTAAAATCCCCGAAACTCTGAAAGCTACACATTGCTTCACCAGAGATTACAAGTCATAGCACTTCTGACTTTAGGATGAAGCCCTAGGCCAATGAAATCAGTGTGCAGCAATTTACTTTTGAGAGAGAGGCCTCATGATATGAACTATCTGGTGCTACCACTTAACCAACATATTTGATGCTATTTTTTTTTGTATTGCTTGTTCAAATATTGTTAGTATTATTTTAAGTTATGTCATTAAAAAAAAATATGGTTGGGAAAGCACAATTCTGCCTGTCACTGCCCTCCAAAGTGGTTGCATGTGGTCCGTGGCCTCATCCATTGTCCTCTCCATCTCTGTACTGCTTTCCCAGGCCTAGACTCCTTAAGGGTACCTCAGTGGGTACCACAGTAATTAAAACCAGAATGTTAACTGTAGCCTGCCATTGTGTGGCATCAATAAATGATCAGACTCACTGGTGTTTCCATGTGATTCATTTACCCCTGCTATGAGACTCCCACTAGCCACCAGAGCAACTCTGGAATTTAGCAACCTGGAGGAGGATCTGTCAATTCCTCCCTCCCTCCCTCCCTGCAGACTCCCTCCTCCTCCACCCTTAAATCCGTATGTCACAATATGAGTCACGTCCCAGGTGAAGTAGAACTTGGGTCTCTTCTCAAGAATGATTGTGCAGTAACCAACACAACCCACCATATGACCATCTGAAGTGATACTTGAAATCTGCCACAATCCCAGATCCAGCATATTGGGAATTGCAGCTCACTGCATAACCTAGTCCCTCAATCGATCCAAAATTCAGACATAATGGAGACTTCCCTGGTGGTCCAGTGGTTAAAGAGTCTGCCTGCCAATGCAGGGGACACAGGTTCAATCTCTGAAAGACCCCATGTGCCTTGGAGCACCTAAGCCTGGGCGCCACAACTACTGAGCCCACGTGCACAATTATACACTGAAACCCAAGCTTTCTAGAGCCCATGCTCTGCAACAAGAGAGCCCACCACAGTGGGAAGCCTGTGCACTGTAACTAGAGAGAAGCCCCCACTTGCCACAACTAGAGAAAGTCTACGTAGCAATGAAGACCCAGTACAGGCAAAAATAAATAAAATTTAGGAAAAAACAACAATGAATTGTAGACATGCCTTCTCTTAATGCTTAAGAGAAAGTAATAATAAAGATGAAGAGGAATTCGCTTTAGAAATCCAACATTTTTTCCAAAGGTGGTGCACAGCATGGTAAGTATGACCAGCAATTGTATCGAGTTGGCCTAAAAGTTCATTCAGGTTGTCCTGTAAGACAGAAAAACCCAAACAAACTTTGGGGCCAACCCAAAAGAATCTGGACATATGGACATGGAATCCACTCACATGGAATGAGTAAGATCATTAAGGCAGGAAAGAGTGAGACATCCACAGGTGACCCCTACAATGTTTGTAGGCATGCATAGGGGTGGTAGGAAGCTGATTTGGGTCAAGAAATCAGAGGGCCATGAACACCTCCCTGTTTGTACCTTGAAAACTCTCCTATGACCACTAGGAGACTCAGCTAGTCTCAGCTCAAATGCTTTTCCCTATGAGGCCAGTGCTAACCCTGCCACAAAGACAGAGGCACTTCTTTGCTTCTTCTACACTGCATCCATTTTCCCCTAGGAGAGAAGTCCTTAATTAGAGATGGTTTTGTCCCCAGGAGACATCTGACAATGTCTGCGACCCGTGTAGTTTTCACAAATTTGATGGAGGGTGCTACTGGCATCTAGCAAGTAGAGGCCAAGGATGCTGCTAAACTGCCTACAGGACAGCCCCTCCCACCACAGAGAATTACGCGACTCAACATGTCAGTGGTTCTGGAGCTGAAAACCTGCAGCAGGACATCTATCACCCTGGGGTGAGCAGCAGGGTTTCTGGGTTGAGTAAAACCGAGCTCACCCTAACACTCAGACCTCACTAAGAACCGATGGGGTGGGCCAGAAAACTTCCAAAGAAAAAAAAAGTGTATCAAGGTTCAAAGGTCATTAGCTTGATTTAAAATAATTTCAGAGGAGAGAGAAGGTAAGGAGGATGGCTCCACAAGAGTCTTGAATCAGCTGCTGAGGGCTCAGGTGTTCAATCCTAGAGTCAGAGGAAATAAACCAGAAGTGGGAAAAATGGAAAACTGACTTACTGAGGGTTTGGAATAATCACCCTCCTCCAACTGAGGTTTTGAACCAAACAGCACAGACATACTCAGCCAGATCAAAACAACAGCTTTACTGATGGTGAAGCTGGCTTTTCGGAATGTATTTTGGAAGAACATGGAAAAGGGCTTTCCTACCCTTCTCTGCAGTGCCAGGTTTTAGGCTCAAGAGGGATGTAGGGGAAGAGTTGGGGGAAAGAGGAGAGACAAATGAACTACTCAAGCCATTAAACTCAGAACATAGAAGTACCCATGGTCATTAAATATTCACTAAAAGTAGCCTTACCTCTTGCCCTGAGAGAAGGCTGACAGGGATATCAAAGATCCCAAAGAGATAGCCCACTACTGTCCACCCTTGAACAGGAAGACCCCTGCTTCTATGTGAGAAAGGTAAGATTAGCATGAATGGATGATATAGGGGAGCAGAGGGGAACATTATAAAAAAAGAAAAAAAGTTCCTGGGCTTTCCTGGTGTATTGCCCACCAGGAAACACAGGTTCAATCCCTGATCTGGGAAGATGCCACATGACTCAGAGCAGCTGGGCCCATGCTCAACTGTAGAGTCTACACCCTAGAGCCCTGCAGGCTGCAACTTCTGAGCACATGTGCCACAACTACTGAAGCCCGTGTACCCTAGACCCTGTGCTCCACCACAAGAGAAGCCACCGCAATGAGAAGCCCAAGTATTCCAACGAAGAGCAGCCCCATCTCATCACAGCTAGGGAAAAGTCTGTGCAGCCACAAAGACCCGGCACAACCAAAAATAAACAAAATTATTTTTTAAAAATAGTTCCTTTCCCATAAATTCTGAATGATGATGTGATTTTCAGATCATAATGAAAAGACAGAAGAAGCATCGTAAAGGCAAGACACAGAAGTTAAGGAGAGAATGGCCCTACCTCTGTGCTCACTCTCCCAGCAAGCACTGTCCCCCCACTCCCCTCTGGACAGCCCCCAGGCCCCTTCATTTCAGCAGTACTGCCCGACTCACCCCAACTTGTTTCATGGGATGTGGCCAGGACTAGGGGTGCTCATTGATGGTCCGCATGGATCCGGCAGTGATGGGATACAGCTCCTGGGGCCAAGGTGATACCAAGGCAGGGAGCATAATCCAGCTGGAACTTGACATCAGGCAGCCACCAGCTGGGGTCCTGTTCAGACACCAGCTACAGTGGAGCCTCTGGGACCGTCACTGGATGGCTTCCTCTCTGGCTGGGAGAACAACTGGGAAACATCCCCACAGACAGCTGGGTCGGGATGGGAAGGCAGAGAGGTGGGAAAGACATTAAGAGAACTAGTCCATGGTGTTAGCTGTGCAGAGACAGGCTGGAGGGGATGGGGTGTGGCACACTGCAACCAGGAGTGTTTTCAGAAGCAGCCCAGGCCATCATGGAAGAGAAGCTCCCCTGTTAAGTGGCATGAAGGGAGGGGTGGGGCCACCATGACAGCCCCTCACCCCACCCTCTGGCCCCCGCCTCTGCAGCTTCCAGAAGAGGCTCTG